TGGACAGTGAGAGAAACAGACAGAAAGGTCTTCCTTTGCCGTTGGTTTGCCCTCCAATGGCTGCCGCAGCTGGTGCGCCACGCTGATCTGAATGCAGGAGCCAGGTGCTTCTGGCCTCCCATGGGGTGCAGGGCCCAAGTACTTGGGCCATCCTCCACTGCACTCCCTGGCCACAGCAGAGAGCTGGCCTGGAAGAGGGGCAACCGGGACAGAATCCGGCACCCCAACCAGGACTAGAGCCCGGGGCCGCAAGGCAGAGGATTAGCCTACTGAGCCACGGCGCCGGCTTAGCAGGCTTCTAATAAGCAAGGACACTTGCTGATGCCCACCCTTTCACTAACTATACAGCATGATCTGTGACACTAGGCCCAAAAGGGCCCTGTCTAGGTCTCCCCTACTTCCACAGTCACCAGAACTCTTTCTGATAACTCATCTAATCATAAACTAAAGAATTATCAAGTATTATGGTGTCCCAAAACAAAAACCATTTGAGTTCTAGTCCTAGTTTTGTAGCTACTTAATACAAGTTTTATTCCCATGTATCTATCCTTCCTAATCCATAGGACTAGTTCAAGAGTCAAGTGAAATATGTATTTCAAAGCTTTTTGAAGCTTAGATCATTGCAAAATGTATCACGGTATTTTAGAGTAAAAGGAATTTTTTCAAGATTAATTACTGATACCTTATCTAAACATTAAACTCCAAAATCAGAACCACAGCTTGTAGCACTGCTGTGTCTGATCAACCATTGTACACTAAAGGAGCTATTCTATACATGCAATGTCCAAAACAGCAGCTAAACTAGTCACACGCAGCTACCACGCAGCTAGTGTAACTGGGAGACTGAATCTTTCATTTCTTGAACTATACTTATCTTAAACTTCAACAACTACAAGTCATTAGTAGCTACTGTGCTGGACAGTACGGATCTCAGATAATAACATCTAGAAAATCTATCTGTAGCTCCAAGGTCTGTAACAGAAAGTACAAGGCTGTCACTAGCAATCACGTCAACAAGGGGAAAGCAGGACTCTGAGAACAGATGTGCTCCCCTTTAAAACTTGACAGGGGCCAGCGCTGTTGCGCAGTGCGTTAAAGCCCTGCCTGCAGCACATCCCACCCATACGGGTGCCAGTTCGAGTTCCAGCTGCTTCACTTCCAATCCAGCTCCCTGCTAATGCGCCCGGGGAAAGAGCAGAGGATGGCCCAAGTCCTTAGGCCGCCCACACCCACTTGGGAGACCTGGAAAAAGTTACTGGCTCCTGGCTTCAGATCACCTCAGCTCCAGCCCTTGCGGCCATCTGGGGAGTGAACCAGAGGATGGAAGACCTCTCTCTCTCTGTAACTCTGCCTTTGAAATAAATAAATCTTAAAAAAAAAAAAAAAGACATATTCAAATCCAAACAACTTTGAGGGACATGGGACATACATCTCATCTACAAAAGCCTTCATATTCCCTCAAATACTAGGAATACAAATATGATCAATATACTTCCCAACTTACACAACTTTTCAAGAATGCATCCAGTGTGGAAAGCAAGAAACCCACATAGAGATAAAAGCCAGGGACGTGCAAGGAAAATAGAAACAAGTAAATCCAGTTTGCCTTCTCCATGATCTCCTTTACAAACCGTGCAACAAAAATCTATTGAGTTGGGGCCGGTGCTGTGGCATACTGGGTAAAGCCGCCACCTGCAGTGCTGGCATCCCACATGCACACTGGTTCAAGTCCCAGTTGTTCCACTTCCGATCCAGCTCTCTGCTATGGCCTGGGAAAGCAGTAGAAGATGCTCCAAGTCGTTGGGCCCCTGCACCAGCATGGGAAGACCTGGAAGAAGCTCCTGGCTCCTGGTTTCACATCGGTGCAGCTCCGGTCATTGCAGCTAATTGGGGAGTGAACCAGTGGATGGAAGACACCTCTCTCTCTCTCTGTGTAACTCTTTCAAATAAATAAATAAATCTTGAAAAAAATCTATTGAGGGGGCTAATGCTGTGGCTTAGCAGGTTAAGCCGCAGCCTGCGATGCTGGCATCCCCTATGGGCCCCAGTTTGAGTTCCAGCTGCTCCCCTTCCTATCTAGCTCCCTGCTAATGCACCTGGGAAAACAGTGGAGGGTGGCCCAAATCTCTGATCCACATAGGAGACCCAGTGGGAAGCTCTTGTCTTCAGCCTGGCCCCGCCCTGGGTGTTGGGACCATCTGGGGAGTGAACCAGTGGCTGGGAGATCTTTCTCTGTAACTCTGCCTTTCAAATAAATTTTTAAAAAAATCTACTAAGCACCACTACCTAACAGGATTAAGAGGTAAAAGATGAGTGAGTCCTAAGCTCTATTCTTGGAGTCATTAAGAAAGGGTAGCATCTGAATCTCACCAACTGGCCCTCTAGGTCCTGCTTCCTGCTACACTACACTTGGGGTCAAAGAGTGGTTCAAAGATTTGCACTACAGTAATCACCACGCTGCTACACTCTGAAACTAGTCAGCAATTTTTATCTCACCTCAGCTGTCTCAGGTGAGAGCCCCATGCCTTGAAAAAACAATATGCCAGAGAATATAAAACTTCAACACATTTTGGGGAGTTTCCTTTTCACACCTCTTTGAACACTGAACCAAAAACTCAACATGCCAAGCTTCAGAAGCTGTTACTAATAGGTGCTACTGAGCCCTCACGATGTGCAAGGCACAAGAACCCCGGTATCGCCTTTGATCTCATTTATTTCCTTGGAAAAAAAAAAAATCCTTACGAAGACCATACGCCGTTCCCCTCCGTTGAGAAATAGGGAAAATGAGTTTCACAGGGATTAAAGAAGTCAGACCAAACTCTGCCTCACCATTGTAATAAAGGATCTTTTTAACCCTTTGCCCACTAAAGAGAGCATACGGAGTCCTGTTCTTCCACTCCAGGGCACAGAGTGGGTGTATTCTACAAGGACACTTCGCTGACAAATAACCAGACACACCACGTCCAGTCACGGCCAAAGGACCGGAAATCAAGGGCTGGCCGGGCCTTCAAACGGAGCATCTCAGGAAGGTCACTGCATGTTCCAGGCAGAGCAAAGGTTAGACGCAGCCAGAGCTCCCCGAGAGCCCGCGACAGCCCAGCGCCGGCTTCCCGCGCGGCTCGGCGGGAGAGCTGGGAACGCGAGCTCGGGGCCGCGGGGCGAGGCCGAGGAGGGGACGACGCCACCCAGCGGCCGGGCTCAGCGGCAGAGCTCCGGGAGAAGGCGGAGCGAGAGGCGGGCGCTCCGGGGAACGGGCCCGGCCCCGGCACGCACGGGGCGAGCCCGCTGGAACGAGACGCCGGGCCCAGCGAGGGCAGTCTCGGCCGCCGCCGCCGCGCAGGGGCCCCACACCAGCCCGCGCGCGCGCCGCGCCCCGCGCCTCACCTGCTCCGCGCCGGCGCCCACAGGCTCAGGGGCCGGCCCGCTCCCGCGCCTCCGCCCCGGCCGGGCTCGGCCCTGCCGCTCGGCCCCCAGCTCCCCGGCTGGCCGCCGGCTCCCGCGCGAGTTCCGGCGAGCAGCAGCCACCGGCGGGCCGGGCAGCCGAGGGCCGCGGAGGCAGCGCGCAGCAGCCGAGCGCACCCCGCGGCGGCCATAGCCCGCGGGCCGGTAACTACCGGATAGGACGCAGGCCGCGAGGGGCTGGGCGAGCGCGGGCGAGCGGGCGGGCGGCGGCCGAGGGTCGCGAGGGGCCGAGGGCCGGCGACTGCGTGCTGCAGCGGCGCGTCGACGACGAGCGAGCCTTCCGGGTGACTTATAAACCCGGGAGCGCCGCAAGCGCGGCCCCACCCCCTGCCCATTCCTACGCCCTCGGAGCGGGGTGGGTTTTACAAGGGGCGGGGCTGACTAATTCGTTGCTTTACCTACTAAACAGGTGTCCTGTCTTCGAGCTCCTGGAATTGCTACGCAGGAACAATAAATTTAAAAGCTGAACATCTGGCAGATAAAACAACCTCCCGTGTCTAAACCACTTTGTTCTGTTCTCCGTTTCCCAATTTAAAAAAAAAAAAAAGTGGTAGGTTTGTCATCTTGCAGTTCAAATTAGGGCAAAAGGCAGAAGAATTCTGGACGTTGTCAAAGAAGGGCAGTAGGAAATTTTGGAATGTCAGCAGACATTGTACACAGAGAACTACTTATGACTCTAAAATTATAGGTCGTCCCAATAATGAAGACATTTAGGGCTGCTGGAGAAAGTAGTAATAATCCCAGACCTTGACTGGCAGTTAACTGCAATTTGCATGAAATCCATGAGACTTAGGGACGACTTTTGAGTGAACTAAGATTTCTAAAAGGCGCCAAAAAGCTGACTTTTTAAATCTAGTTTATTGGGGGCCGGCATTCTGGCATCGTGGGTAAAGCTGCCACCTGCAGTTCCGGCATCCCATATGGGCACCGGTTCAAGTCCTGGCTGCTCCACTTCTATCAAGCTCTCTGCTGTGGCCTGGGAAAGCAGTAGAGGATGGCCCAAGTGCTTGGACCCCTGCACCCAGGTGGGAGACCCGGAAGAAGCTCCTGGCTCCTGGCTTCGGATAGGCACAGCTCTGACTGTTGCAGCCAATTGGGGAGTGAAACAGCAGATGGAAGACACCTCTCTCTCTGACTTTCAAATAAATAAATAAATCTTTAAAAGCTAAATAAATAAATAAATCTAGTTTATTACGGTTAGTATGCTGTCGATTAGAACATGGGCTTTGAGGTCAGAAATGGCAATGTTCAAATCCAAGGTCTACCACTTATGAGCTCTCAGGCCTTGAATAAATTATTCTCACAGAGGACCAGAGTTTCCATAACTCACAGATAAGATAGCCCAGGCTTCAGGGCCGTCCTGAGGGTTAGACAAACTAACAAGCACATCAAGAAGTGCGTCACAGACCATGAGCAATAGCCCTTCCTGGGCCTCCCGGTGAGGGTACTTGCAAAGCAGCTAAAGTTCAGAGTCAAGGGGATGGTGCAAATGTGCTAAACACAATGGAAAAAATAAAAAGAATATTTGGAACAAAAGGGTATAGACCTAAGCCAAATCTCTCCCGATTGTCTCACAGAGGCTGGGAGAAGGCAGCCTCTAGGCTCCTAACTGCCACAATCTTTAGATAAAGAAACATTCAAGTTGGAAATGGCACAAAAACAAACAAAACCTGGTAAATACTCCTGGAAAGGAAATGGTAAGAGAACAGCTAACTTTTTTTTTATGAGATCAAATCTCTGAAGTCAGATGAATTAATTAAACTCAGAGGCTCCTTCTTCCCTGACCCATTCATAGAAAATCCAGACTTAACTTGGCTGTAGCAGAGCTTTTCTGCCTTGTGGAGTTGTCTTTTGTATGCATGGCATAATATTTATGTAGGTCATCTTTCCTGGAAGTCCCAGATACAGGCTCTTGAACACGTCAAGTACTCAATAAATATTGGTGGATAAATTAAAATTCGCATGTAACTTTCATTAAATCATCAGAATTCATTACAGTTGCAGAGGAAGGGCAAGGATGAGAAAAAGGGGGGCTGAGCTGTGGCATAGTGGGTAAAGCCACCGCCTGCAGTGCCGGTATCCCATATGTGCGCCGGTTCAAGTCCTGGTTGCTCCACTTCCGATCCAGCTTTCTGCTGTGGCCTGGGAAAGTAGTGGAAGATTACCTAAGTCCTTGGGCCTCTGCAACCACATGGAAGACCTGGAGGAAGCTCCTGGCTCCTGGCTCCTGGCTCCTGGCTTCAGATCGGCTCCAGCCATTGCGGCTACTTGGGGAGTGAACCAGTGAATGGAAGACTTCTCTGTCTCTCTGCCTCTCCCTCTCTCTCTGTTTAACTCTTTCAAATAAATAAATAAATCTTTTTTAAAAAAAAGGTGGAAAAAAGGCTCAGAAACATTAATATTATCGAAGTGGCCGAACTACCCAAAACAATTTACAGATTCAACACAATCTTCATCAAAATACCAATGATATTCTTCACAGAATTAGAAAAAACAATTTATATGAAACAATGGGAAAATATTTACATAAAATGTATATGGAAATACAGAATACCCCAAATAGTCTAAACAATCTGACACAATAAAAATGAACGAAAGCAGATCTGAAGAAATACCACAAGGCTGTTTCAGCCAAAACACGTGATACTGGCATTAAGTAGACACATAGTTTAATGGAACAGAATAAAAACCCCAGAAATAAATCCACACATCTACAAGGAACTTAGCTTTGACAAATGTGCAAAGATATTCCCTGGGGAGAGGACAATTTCCTCAATAAAGGATGTTTGGAAAATTGGATTTCCACATAAGCAACTTTAGAACCATACATCCTACACAAAAATCAATTCGAAATAGATCAGCTCTCTAAATGGAAGACCTGAAACTGTGAAACTACTATGGGAAAACATAGGGGAAGCACTCCAAAACATTGGCACAGACAATGAGTTTTTTAATAAAACCCTAAAATCATGGACAATGAAAGCAAAAATAGAAAAATGGGCTTATATCAAACTAAATAGCTCCGGACAGCAAAGAAAACAGATGATGAGACGTCCAACCGAATGAAAGAAATATTTGCAAACCATGCATCTGATAAAGCATTAATATCCAGAATATATAAGGAGCTCAAGAATTTTACAACAAAGCAAACAGTCCAGTTAAGAAATAGGTGAAAGATCTGAACAGACATTTTTCAAAAGAATTACAAATGGCCAACAAATATGGAAAAAATGCTCAGGATCACTCACCATCAGGGAAATGCAAATACAAACCACAGTGGGATATCGTCTTACTCCAGTTAGGAAGGCTGCTATCCAGAAGTCAAAAAATAACAAATGCTGGTGAAGATGTGGAAAAGGGAAACTATAGTACACAGTTGTGGAAATGAAAATTAATATAGTTATTATGGAAAACCGAATGGAGATTCCTCAAAAAACTAAAAATAGATCTACCATGAGGCCCAGCTGTCCTACTTCTGAGAATACATCCAAAGAAAATGAAGTCAGCACATACATGCAAGAGATACCTGCACTCTCGTATGTATTGAATCAACCTAGGTGTCCACCAGTGGATAGCTGGATAAAGAAAATGAGATGGGTACACACAATGGAGTTTTACTTGGCCACAAGAATGAAATCCTGACATTCGCTACAAAATGGTTGGAATTGGAGATCATGATGCTAAGTAAAATAAGCCGTACACAGAGCAACAAATTCCACATGTTCTCTCATATGTAGAAGTTAATATAGTATAAAAATGTGTAGATGCTGTATTATTTGGCATATAAATATTTATAAATATTATCTTCTCTGAATTACACCCTTACATAATGACATACTTTTCCCTCACTTTATGATCTTTGTCACGAATCCTATGTTATGTAATATCAATGTAGCCATCCCTGCTTTCAAGAAACATTGTATACATGTATAGATAATATTCACCTACAAAGTAAATGTGGCAGAATGTTAAAAACTGATAAATCTATATCACTCATTAAGCTCTTCTTTGTACTTTTCTGTATTACCTGAAATATTTTTAAAAGTAAAAAGGCAAAAAAAATTTAAAACTTTTGAGAAAAAAAAAGATTAAAAAGAGAGATGTTTTCTGGGTTTTCAAAGGCAGGCAAGGATTAATTCCAAAGACCAAAACTCATTAATTAATTAATTAATTCCAACACCAAAACTCATCAGAATCCCGAAGGGAGTTTCTAAATATACTTGTAACCATATGAGGTAAACATGAAATCACTAAGGGTTATCTATTTGCTCAAGTACTTCTGTATGTCTATAAAACTAACCCCTTCATCCTTTACACTCCTAGCAAATCCATTTGTATTTGGATATTTGTGCTGTTGCAGTGAAAATACCACAGACTGGGTTATACATAATGAACACAAATCTATTTTTCTCCCAGTTCTGGAGGCTGCAAAGCCCAGGATCAAGACACCAGCAGTGTCAGTGTCTGCTGTGGGCTCAGGAAAAAGCAGTGGAAGATGGCCTAGGTGCTTGGATCCCTGCTTCCTATGTGGGTGACCCAGAAGAAGCTCCTGGCATCAACGGGGTGCAGCCCTGGCTGTTTCAGTCCTCTGGGGAATAAACCAGCAAATGGAAGAGCTCTCCCTCTCTCTCTGTAACTGTGATTTTCAAATAAATAAATAAATAGTTTTAATTTTATTTAATTAATTTATTTGAGAGGTAGAGTTACAGACAGTGAGAGGGAGAGACAGAAAGAGAGGTCTTCCATATGCTGGCTCACTCCCCGAGCGGCCGCAATGGCTGGAGCTGCACCAACCCAAAGCCGGGAGCCAGGAGCTCCTTCCAGGTCTCCCATGCTTGTGCAGGGGCCCAGGGACTTGAGCCATCTGCTGCTTTCCCAGGCCATAGCAGAGAGCTGGATCAGAAGATGAGCAGCCGGGACTAGTGCCAGCGCTCATGTGGGCGGAGGATTAACCTACTGTCTCACAGCGCTGGCCATAAATACAGGTTTTAAAGAGGTTATCATTTTACTATTATATATGTTTTTTTCCAAATCTGTATTGAATAATTGATGTCTAAGATTGCACATGATTCATATTATTTAAAAATAAAGTCAGAAAATACCTAATAAAAAAAGAAGTATGTAATTATATCTAAATAGATTTCATTCCAAGAAATTACCACTCTACTTCAAGGTGATACATAAATATAGATGGTAACATTGGTGAGTTTCCTAAATTTAAATTGAAAATTAAACTGATATTTAAATAAATCACCATGTCAGTTTTATTGCTCTCCCTGCCTATAATCTTGAGTTACTGTAGCACAGCCCCTGGATTGCCAGCAAATTGAAAATATCAAAATCTTGATAT